GTTTTCACATGCAACTGGGAAATAAGAAATACAGGAAATGGGGTACAGAAGTCTATCCTGCCCTACAGGAAAATAGAATGGGAAGGGGATAAGAGAACGAGGGGAGAGATAGAAGAGAGAGCAGACTAGAGGAAGGGATATTCAGAATGCATGCCATTTTGGGGTGGGGGGAGGGGTGAGATGGGGTGAAAATTTGGAACTCAAAATATTGTGGAAGTAAATGTTGAAAACTAAAAATAAATTTATATTTAAAAAATAAACAAAAAGGGCTAGATCTTTTAAAATAAATGTTCCATGAATTAGAATACATATATTTGAAAACCACCTAGGTTAATTATACAGAACAGTGTCTGATTCTGTGATCTAAACTGTGATATGTACCACAGCCGAGCTTGGAAGCTTATCATCCAAACCATTTAATGAGTAATATCTCATCCAAGGGCAATTTAAGAAGAATTCCTTCAGTAGGTATAGAGTGAGCAAAACTGTACAAGGCTGTATTTAACTGAAAAGTTTGATATAAATATATAAAAAGAATATTTTTATTTTTTTAAAAAGTCTTAAAATGCTCACACTGTATGATATTGATTGCATGGTAACTTGCCACAAATATTCGCTTGGTGAGTGTTTGACATCGCCTTTTCCTTATTGCGTTCTGGTTATTATGTGCTGTATGAAGCTCTGATCAGATAGCTTCATGAGACCCTAAGCCTAGAGATGGAGGGGACTTCAGAGGCCACTGAGTCTAGCCCCCTCATTTGAGAGGTGAGGAGACTCCTCCAGGGGCACCCAGGTGAGAGCCTGTTCAACGTGAAGTTCTTTTTAGAAAACTATCTGCTTAACATGATTAATGTGGAGCAATGTTTAATATGATTATATAGCCTATATCAGACTGCATGCCGTCTTGGAGAGGAGGGAGGGAAGGGAGGGGGAAAATTTAGAACCCAAAATCTTATAAAAGTGAATGTTGAAAACTAAAAATAAATTAATTAATTAAAAGAAAAAAAAGAAAGGAAAGATCATGTTTTTCCTTTTCTTCCCATCATAATGACTAACACGCTGTAAGCATTTAATGAAAGCTTGCTGACTGACTGACAGGGTCACCTCTAAGAAGCGGAGATAAAGGCACTTCTCTGGGGACCTAACCTAGCAATACAAGTGCAATTACAGGTCAGGAAAGTAGTCCAGGGAAGGTGCTACATCAACAATTGCCACACTATTTTTACTTCAAATATCAAAGACCAACATGATGGTCTCAAGGACTTTTCAATTTGTTATTGTGTCTAATGAAAATATGCAACAGGTTTTCCACTCAACTCATGTTCGATGTGGGGGAAATATAGAACTCAATTTCCTTCAAGTGTAGTCTTCTCAGATAAGTAAGGTACCACCAGTATAATGCCCACATTTAACTGAAACATACTAGCAGGGACTTTTGGGGGCAGAGTCAAGATGGTCAAGTAGAGAAAGCACTTGCCTGAGCCCTCCCAACTTCTCCCTCCAAACAATTTTATTTACTTATTTTTAACATTTAATAGCATTTTGTTTATTCCAATTACATGTAAAGATGGTTTTCAACATTCATTTGTGTAAGATTTTGAGTTCCAAATTTTTCTCCCTCCCTCCCTCCCTTCCCTTTCCCCTTCCCAAGACAGCAAGCAATCTGACATAGGGTGATACATGTATAATCATGTTAAACATATTTCCACATTAGTTATGTCCAAACAACTTTAAAATGATGTCTCGATTCAAATTCTGGAGTGGCAGAACCAAGAAAAAGGTCAGAGTAGGATATTCTTCAATCCCAAAACAACCTAGGAGTTCAGAAAGAGAGATCTGTGACACGGGAGTGGAGGCTGGTGTGGAGCCCACATTGATGAAGCACCACTGGTGCCACTAGGTGGTGACAACAGAAACAGCAAGAGCTTCAGGAGCTCCCAAGCCAGCTTCCAAGCTCCCAATCACACCCCCTTGGAAGCACTGATAACCTCCAAAACCCCAGAACTAACTCTGAAAACAGTACTGCAAAAAAAGCCTGAAGACTGAGAGACTACCCATCTACTCCACACACAGGAAATAGAATCCAACATTCACATAAAGTTCTAAATCATGAAGCAGGGTAGAAAAAACAAGCAAACAACAAAAAAGAACCTGACCAGAGAAAGCTGTTATGGTGACAGGAAAGATCAAGACACAAACTCAAAAGGACACAATGAAGTCAAAACATGTACAAACAAAGCTTCAAAGAAAAGATGTAAGTTGACCATAAGCTCAACAAGAATTCCTAGAAGGGGTTAAAAAAAGGATTTTCAAATCAAATAAGAGTAATATAGGAAAGAGTAGACAAAGAAATAGAAGCAAAGAAATAAAAGTATGAAAAAACAATTACCAGCTTGATAAAAGAGGCATAAAAAATGCTAAAGAAAATGACACCTTAAAATTATCCAAATTTGTCCAGAATTCACCAAATGGAAACAGAGATACAAAAGTTCATTGAAGAATACAATTCCTTAAAAGTTAAAATTGAGCAAGTGGAGTGACTTGCTCAAGGACACATGAAGAAACAATAAAACAAAGTCAAAAGATTGAAAAACAGAAGAAAATGTGAAATATCTCATAGGAAAAACAACTGACCTGGAAAATAGATCCAGGAGGAATAGTTTAAGAATTATTAGAATTCCTGAAAGTCATGATCAAAATAAGAGCCTAGACATCATATTTCAAAAAATTATAAGGAAAACTGCCCAGATATCTTCAAACTAGAGGGTAAAATAGAAATTGAAAGGATCCATCAATATCCACCAGAAAGAGATACTAAAATGAAAACTTCCAGGAAGATTATAGCCAAATTCCAAAGCTTCCATGTCAGAGAAAAAGTTTCTAGCAGCTAGAAAGAAACCATTCAAATGTCATGTAGCCTTAGTCAGGATCACACAAAGGTTAGCAGCTACCACATTTTTAAAAATGGAGAATTTGGAATATGATATTCTGGAAGACAAAAGAGCTGGGATTACAGCCAAAAAATAATCTACTCAGCAAAACTGAATATAATCCGTTAAGGGAAAAAAATGATAGTTAATTAAATAAAGTATTTTCATGCATTCCTAATGAAAAGAACAGAGCTGAATAGGAAATCTGACTTTCAAATACAAGACTTCAGAGAAGCATGAAAAGGTAAATATGAAAGAGAAATCATAAGGGACTCAGTAAGATTAAATTAGTTACCTTTCTATATGGAAAGATGATACATGTATCTTCTAAGAACTTTATCATTATCTGGGCAGTTAAAAGGATTTTACGTAGAAAGGGTGTGTAGGAAGGAGTCTATTATGTTCGGATGATGTAAAAAAATGTATAGACAAAAAAGAGGGATCCCCAAGGATAAAGGGAAAAAGGAAGAATGGGGAAAATTCTCTCACATAAAACAGGTGTAAAAGGAAGAGCTTTCATAGTAGAGGCGGAAATGGGGTGTTGTGGGAAACACTTAAACCTCACATATAAATTGGTTCAAAGAGGGGAGAAAGTGTGTGTGTGTGTGTGTGTGTGTGTGTACACATACACTCAATTAACAATAAAAAATCTATTTTACAGGGCAGCTAGGCAGTGCAGTGGATAGAGCACCAGCCCTGAAGTCAGGAGGACCTGAGTTCAAATCTGCCCTCAGACAAATAACACTGACTAGCCATGTGATTCTGGGCAAGTCACTTAACCCCAATTGCCTCACAAAAAGAAAGAACTTTGTGTGGGGTAACAGAAATATCCCAAGGCCTTGCTCTGTGCAGATTAGGATAATTTTTAGTTAAAAGGCACTGAAAACTATCCTTGAGATATAATCAGATCATCAGACTAAGGCTTAGGCCACTGACATCACTTCCTGCTCTCCTGTGTACAAAAAATCCAGAGAAAAACTTCAGCTACTCCCAGATATTTGACTGGAAGACCATCATGTACATGTGCTCACATCAATTATTGTGGGATCCTCAACGAATATCTTTGTTAAATATCCTTTCCCTGCTAGGGCTACATAAATATCCTTTTGTTGACAGTCATATCTTCTACAAGCATTTCCAATACTGAATCTAAGGTATCACATTGGCCTGGTAAGCCTTAATCTGCAACAAAATCCAATTAATACATGTGTGCATATTTACAGAATCAGAAGGCTCCTACAGTAGAAGGCTGTATATATTGTCAGATGCGATCATTGTATTGAGTGTTTAATTGCTTGTTTCTTTGTTTGTTTGTTTGTCAAAAAGGAAAGTTCAAGTCAGAAATGGGACAAGGGAGCTTTTTTCTGTAAATGACTAGGATATAAAGACAAAAGCCACAAATAAAAAAAACCATTTTAAAAGATGTCTATGAAAGATGTCAACCTCAAAGCTTACTTCTGGTATACAAAGCCTTTACTTAAATGTACAAATGAGAAGACAAGTCAGAGAAAATATAAACATTTAGCTAAATGATAGAATGTCAATTCAGAAAAGATGAAGAATGAATGCCTTCACTTTCATCACATTTATATATCTGAATAAAAACTTCACAATTATTTGAAAACACTAAGATATCGAATTTTTAGGAGTTCCCATTTTTTTCACCCAGTGGGCACTTTAGGCAGGTAGGTGGCATCACGCTGGACCCAGAGTGATGAAGCACTAATTCAAATCTGATCTCAGACACTTCCTAGGCATGTGACTCTGGGCAAGTCATTTAACCTCTATACGCCTCAAGCTCCTCATAGGACAAATGGGGGTAATAACAGTACCTTCCTCCTGGGGTTGTTGTGAGGATAAAATGATATAATATTTGTAAAGTGTTTTGCAAACTTTAAAGCAGTAAATAAATGCTACCTATTATAATATGAAGGCCAGAGCTTTTGAACAATAAAATTCCCATAATTTTGCTGCATTTTTTAAAATTCCAACTTGTGGAGCTAACTTTCAAATTATGTGATATCCATATGTAATAATACGTTGTCATATAAAGCTGAATCAGTTGCTAACCTGGAGTGTCCTCTAGACTGCAGTACTGTGCGAAGCGAACAGTAGTTCGACCAAAAGGGGTGTTTTTTGGTCCTGGTAATTTTTTCAAGGTCTCAAGAGCTGTTCGATGGTCGGTATATGTGCCAGGAGCTGGAGTGATTGATTTCACAGGTACAAATCTCTGGTAAATCAGAAGAGAAAATATGCCAGTGACAGGTGGTAGTACATCTAGATAATTTATGGGTAAAACAGTGGCTTTTTAATATAACACCTGCAGTTTAATTTATCTCTCAAAGGAGTCAAGAAAACATAGAAATATTAATACCCTATATCTATTAATCAATAAGTAAACAGCTTTTGGTAGAATTATCTATCCTGTAATAGGAACATAATAAACAAATACAAAAATATACTATAAGAAAATTTAAAACGTTTCTGTGTGCTTCTAGATAATCACAACAATGATAATTACATTTTGAAAACCCTTTACAACATCAATTAATAAGCAGAAAAAGGTATACATATTCATTATCAAATCAGCTAACTTGGACATAAAACCATCCCAAATCTCTCACACAAAGGGCTTTGACAATTCATTGACTTCATGAATCACCTTTAGTAACAACCTGAATATTATACATATAAGTGAATTAATAGTAAACACCATGTCATTTGTAACCTTACTAGTATTCCACAATAAATAGAGGTCACTTTAACATGATGCACAATCATTCAGTATTTGGTATAAGGTGATTAAATCTTGAAACCTACCCTAAATGGTCTATTGGCCTCCTCATAACAATTTTACCTAAAATGTCACATTAAAATGCCTATATACTAATAAATAATAGTTAGTTATAAATAGATTATTAGATCCTTTAGATAAAATAATAACAAAATCCTTGAATTTCAATAAGAAGAACATAATATTCTTGGATTATCACGCAATGTTGTAACTAGCCCAGATAAACTAAGCCCTTATCTTACTATTAAAGTAGCAAATTTCTAACTATTTTGTTCTTTTTTATTTAAAGACATATTGATATATTTCATTTTTATATAACATTAATTTCCAAACATATCCTTCCCCTTCCATAAAGCCATCTTTTGCTACCCAAAAAAAAGTTAAAAAGAGAAAAAAACAGTTCAAAGAAACTAAACAACTGATAACCAAATCCAATGTTATATGCATTATTCTTCACCTATATCCTCCCAACTTTACAAAAAAGCAAATGTATATTTTTTATACTTCTTCTTTGGGAATAAGCCTCATTATTTTAATTTTACAATAATTCATTTCATTTTTTGTTACTGTTGTTTTTTCCATTCATACTATTTTATTCATTGTGCATACTTTTGCTGACTCTGGTTACTTCCCTTTAGGTCAGTTCACATACATCGTCCCATGCTTCTCTACATCCCTTCCAATGCAATAAAATTCCATTGCAGTCACATGTTGTATTTGTGTCGTCATTCATTTCCCAATTTCTACTTTATTTCTGGTTGTTTTTTTATTTTTGCTTTTTGCTATATAAATTTTAGTGTATATACCCTTCCTTTTTATCACTGACCTCTTTGGGATATTTGCCTAGTAGTGAGATCTCTGGATCAAAGGGCAAGGATATTTTAGTCACTTTCTTAGCATAATTCCAAACTATTTTGCAGAATGGTTGAATTGATATACAGTGTTACCAAGAGGGTATTGTTATACTAGTCTTTCCACTACCCCTCTAACATTTACTATTCCCTTCTTTTGTCGTCTTTGCCAATTTGGTAGTGTAAGGTGAACCCTTAGAATTGTCTTGAATCTGACCATCCATTAATAATACAAGGACGCATAATTTGAAATGTCTGCTCAATGGTAGGAACAAGTATCCTAGATCACTCAATGGGTTTGTGCAAACCCAGGTGGATTGCTATAACTAATTATGAACAAATGAATGAATGAATGAAAAAGAATTTTATTAAATTCAGTGCTATGCTAAGTGCTAGGAATACAAATATACAAATGAAGACAGTCCATGCCCTAAAGAGGTTTATATTCTAGTACAGAGAGACAATACACATAGGGACCAGAGAAGGTCACTTCAGCCCAGAAACATACAGAAATAGAGAGTGGGGTCATATGAAAATTTATATTGACCCATATCTTCTAGGAAAAATGGCAGAGTTGATTTGATCCTGGTTCAAAAACTGGAGGAAAGGAAGATTCCATGTATAGTGGTGAGGTAACTGGAACGCCTATTCAGAAGAAAGTCTGGGAATATGGAGTTAAATGAGGCATAGCTGGGACCCTCCTGAAGAAGTGAGTCAGTGGCAGCAGCTAGGTGGCACAGTGGATAGAGCTCCTGCCTTGGAGTAGGAGGACCTGAGTTCAAATCCGCCCTGAGACACTTGACACTTACTAACTGTGTGACCCTGGGCAAGTCACTTAACCCCAATTGCCTCACCAAAAAAGAAAAAGAAAGAAAAAGAAAAAGAAGTGAGCCAGGAGGAGCAATAACTAATAAGGCCCACATGGTCCCAGGGCAGAAGTTCCAGAGATGAAAGTGTTGAAAACCCATAAGGCATAGCTTCTGGTGTAAGCTCCTAGAAAGCTCTCAATGTTCCAGCTATATCACCTCACTCCAAGCCCATGCATGAAACACTAGTTTCTGCCAGCCTCAGGTTTTCCCAGATCTTTTTCTGGGAGTATGAATAACTAAAATTACCTTTCATAAATCTCTTATGGCTCAGATCTAATTTTAATGAAATTTTAATCTCTTTTCAACTTTGATAAATTATAATATGTTTATTAAAGAAGAACCAAAATTAAAATACAGATGTAGAGTTCTTGAATAGCAGAACCAGTCCTGGTCAAAGTCTTACATCTCTCCTCACCTCACCTCACCTCATCTCATCTCACCTCACTGTATTTTTGCACCTAGTTTTCCCTAGGCCATGACCCAAGCAAGCATTTGGTTCTCAAAAGCAAAGAGGTGAGGAAGGCTTCCACCTTAGCTCATTGCTTTTAATCTGGATACACCTATAATAATGCTACTCTATTCCTTTGTGGATTTTTCAATGTCCTTCTAGATTCTAGACAGACAAAGCCTTTACTAGATACCTCCTGGACCAGTCACTGGTAAGAACCATGTTCAGGTGCTGTCTTGGTATTGTCTCCAACATGCTTCCAGTATCTCTCCTCAGCATCTTCTTCAGGAAGCACAGCAACTCTCTTTTCAAAGATCCCCTCCATAGTAAGACATTATAATGACATTGTGCTCTCCATTTGTGGCACATGTCCTATAGGCAGCTCAATACTGCTTTTCTTCTTCATGTTACCCATGAGATTCAGGAAATTTTAGGAGGGGGAAACAATCATCTGAAGCAGAAGCTCCATCAGACAGACTTCCTTTCCCTGCCCTTCCTTTTACCTTGGCTCCAGGAAATGGCTGGGAGTGTTTGTTTCTGTTCAGTTTGTCCTTTTTAGTTTTAGAGGCCAATGATGATCCACACCAGCCCCAAGAATCTGAGCCATGGTGACCTTGGAGCCAGGGTTGCATATAGGATTGCAGTAAGCCAGCTTAGCAGGACAGCACCAAGAAGCCAGGGTACTTGAGAGTTGAGACTAAAGAGGGTCTTGTTCTTGGAATTTAGGGCTGTACTCTATAGGAACTGACCTAAGCTCTAAACCTAATCCCATCCTCCTCTCCCAAAAATGAAGTGGTACAAAGTAGAATTTTATTCTATGCGTTAGAGAGTACATTTGTATAACTGTTATTATGCCTTTGTATATTTGTTATTAAATCTTTGAAGTAACTATTCTTTTGCAAAAACTAATCCTACTGTTAGTGGCTACACTAATACAGGGCACTACCCCTACATTCACATTCACCCCAACATTCACCATCAGTAAAGGCTGGAATAATTTACAGAGAGCCTAGATACCCAAACCCTCTTAAGGGTACTAGAAGACCCTGGGGGAGTGGTGAAATGCAACCTATTTGACCTTCAGGCCATGGGGGCCAGGGTAGTCAATATTATATTTATAAAAGGCATCTAGTTCAGAGATCTCATGCCTTAGATGGAGAGATTTAAAATTTTCTAAATATGTGGCCTGTCTTTGTTAGCCATCACTACAAAAAACTGAAGTGGTCAACCAAGGGTAAATCACTTACATACAATTGCAATAGTCATCTGGGCTTTAATAGTACATAGAATGTGCTACATAAATCCTTAGATCTGGGTATGACTGGGCTAGGCCCCTGTCAAGTAGCAGAAGTATCCTAAATGACTTCAAGGATATTTGGGGCTCCTTATTAGGAATAGGGAAGTAATGACTACCAGATACCCTAGTCTTCCTTCAGTAGGCCTGTAAGTATTAAGAGGAGTTAATTAGCTTCCAAAGAACAGCTACTACATATTCTGAAGGATGCCCACCCTTTTCAGCTCCACATCACTGCCATGCACAAACAACAGGGGCCAACTTTACTCAGGCTCAACTATGTTGCTTTTTATACTGAAATGGACTCTTTTATATATCAGTTTTTGTACATAATTTCTGTTCTAGCTATTAATCTGCATATAATTTTAATGATATAAATGCTAAATGTTATACATACCAATCTTTTATACTTAGATTCCCTAGTATATGACTACAAATAGGCTCAGATTACTATAAATAATGAAACCCGTAAAGTACAGGTTCAAATTATTTGAAGTTATAATTATGTAAAATACAGTCATTGGTATCAGATGCCCAACGGAAATACACAATGTCAATTTCAATAATGTGACCCCTTCACAAGACTCCATTATTTAAACCAATCAGGATCTATCTACCTATATGTTTCTGTTTCCCCTTTTTTGTTTTTTCCCCACAAGTTAAAGTTCTAGTATGGTGCTTACTTATCATTATTGATCAGGTTGCTAGTTTTCCATTCAGCTTATTTGGATCTATATATAAAAATGATTGTGAAATACCTGGCATTGCGAAAGGAAAAGCAGGGTGTACTTCATTCATACTTGAGGTATCATCTTCTACCTTTCCAAACTGACTTTTAATGTCATAACTCCCAGGTCCTGGTACTCCCTGAAATACATAATGAAAAAAATACATTTGTTCATTAACAAAATATCTTGAGTTAGTAGTTAGGGGACTAGCTAGTTTTATCTGAACCAAGTTAATGAGATTTAAAAGAAAATCCCTGTATAAAATCACAGGAACAACTTATTAAAAAGGAAAACCAAAAGAAACTGCTTAGCAGACACCAAAAGACAAAGTACTCTTCAGATGAAGCTTCTGGGCTTCCAGAAACATACCTCTTGCAACTCTGCTGCCCTCTACTGACAGAGCGCAGAAAAAATTCTCAAGATATTAAGGTTGAGATAAAATTTAATAATAATTTTATAATTAAAAAATTAAAACTATCATAATTTTATTTTATAATTTTTTCTCTCTAAAAATGTTTTTACTTTCTTTTAGAATTTCAATTAATTAGCAGAGTTTTTTTTAATTCCATAATAAAACTTAGACAATGTTTCTTTTTTAACTAGACTCCTTACATAATTTAAGGTGGTGTTTAACTTTAACTTTACAGTAGATGAAAATTGTGATGGAATACTATTGTGCCATAACAAATTATGACAGGAATGGTTTCAGAAAAACCTGGGAAAACATAAATGAGCTAATGCAAAGTGAAGTAAGAATGAGGAAAACCCTTTACACAGTAACAGCAATATCGTAACAAGGATTGACTATGACAGATTTAGATACTTTGATCAATACAATGATCCAAGACAACTCCAGAGGAACCATGATTTTAAAATGTTATGCACCTCCAGGGAAAAAAATTGATGAATTGTGTGTACTTTTTTTACTTCTTTATTTTTCTTGCTTTTTTTGCAACATGGCTAATATGGAAATATGTTTTGCATGACTTCACATATATAATTGATATCATATTGCTTGCCTTCTTGGTGAGTCATAGAGGAGCAGGAGAGAGGGAATTTGGAATTCAAAATTTCAAAAAATAAATGTTAATAAATAAATAAAGCTTTAAGAAAAGGGAAAAAGTTTAATAATTAAAAGTGCCCAAGAGTTGAATGGGCTACTTCAGGACAGAGATCTTTCTTACTTGAAGTCTTCAAGCAAAGGATGGATTACCAAAAGGATAATAAAGATTCTTTTTTACGTATGAGTTGTATTAAACGGCCATTAAAATCACTTCTAGCTCTAAAATTCTATGATTCTACGAATCAAAATTACAGGTATTCCAAAGGACAAATACCAATAATGGCTTGCACAAAACAAGTGGCATAAAATACATTATTAAAGATATGTATGACCAGAAAAAGAGGTGAGATGATCATATGGCAAAAGCAAATGGACAGGGAAATCAGGAAGCTTCTAGTTAAGATGGCTACTTCTAAGGTACAATTCAGCCCAACTCTTACTCCAGTAATAATCAAAAGAACACCAGATAGGATGATGATGAAAAAATCCCAAAAGAAAGTTCAATAAGCTACTTCATATAGGCCAAGACTGAACAAAAAGATAACTAGAAACTGCAGGTGCTAGAAGAGGGGTTTTCACAAAGATGTCATTATGAATGCAGCTGATTGATTGATTGATTGATTGATTGGAAGCCCCTAGCCAGGTAGATCCTACTAGCATCACAACCAAGAAAACCTCAGGGAGGACAACAGACCAAGGCAAACCTCTAAGAAAATATCAAGGAAGGCAAACCACAAGCAAAGCCCATCAAGAAAGCCTGAGAAGGTAAAGGAGGAGGCGAGTAAACCCCTGCAATACCCTGACCAGGATAGTTTTAGGGATCAGAAACTAGGAAGCCTAATCAAGGAAGCCTGGAGGCAAGAAGACAGCAACCAACAACAAAGCTTTGATGTGAGTCAATGAAGTCTGTCCACATTCTGAGTGCTGACACACAAAATAAAATGGAAGGCAGCCCCAGGAATCCAGGAAGGTGAGGTCAATATCAAACAAGGCTTAACCACTTCATCCAAAAGGATGGAAGGAACCCGAGCCTGGTCCTGACACTAAATCCCAAATCAAAAAATTTGACTAGAAATATGAGTAAACAGAAGAAGACACTGAACATTATGAAGTGTTCAAATATTATTAATCAAGATTTGTTCAAGAGGATCGCCTAGGATACAAACTGACCTGGAAAACAGACTAAGGAGAAATCATCTAAAAATCATTAGACTTTTTGAAAACCATGACCAGAAGACAAGTTACCATATTTCAAGAAATCATCAATGAAAACTGCCCAGAATAATAGAGCCAGTCAGCAAAATAAAAATAGAAAGAATTCACTGGTCACAACCTAAAAGAAATCCCAAAATGAAAACTCCCAGGAATGTCACAGTCAAAAGCTAGAGCCTCTAGGTGAAAGAAAAAATGTTACAAGAAATCACAAAGAAGGAGCTCAAGCATCAAGCAACTAGTCAAAATCACAGAAGATCTGACAGCTGCCATCTAAAAAAGAGGCAATCTCGGAATTCTATTTTCTAAAAAGCAGAAGATAAAGGTTTGCAATATGGAAAACTGAGAATACTTCTATAGCAAAAAAATATGGATATTTAACGGACTAGAGGATTTGAAATTTCAAACATTCCTTATGAAATCACCAGAGCTGAGTATAAACTTTAAAATATGAACATGGAAGTCTAGAGAAAATTAGAAAAGGTAAATATGATAACTATCTAGAGATTGCTGAATGGGAAGAGAAAGAAGTATGCTCAGCTGTGCATGGGAACATTACAAAAATAGAAACTATATCAAGGCACTGAAAGCCTCACAAACAAATGCAGAAAAAATTATCAAACATATCTTTTACTGACCACAATGCAAATATATGTGTGTATGTATGTGTGTATATAAATATATATGTATATATATTCAATATAGAGCCTTTGAAGAAAGGATTTAAAAATCAGCTTGTGACTAAAAATTTAATACTAAAGAATTGGTGTATCAAAAAACAACTCATAGAAAAAAAAATTTTTTTCATCAAAAAGTGACACCAATAAGAAAAACATATTAAAAAACTTTTGGGATGCAGCGAAAGCAACTCCATAGAGGAAAACTTATATCTCTCTCTATTCTCATCAACAAAAGAGAAAAAAAATGATACATAAATTAAGCATGAAATTTTTTTATAAAAGAAAAGCAATAAATTAAAATTTTAAACATAAAATCAGGAACTCTGAAAAAATCAAAGAAAGTACTTTCAAAACTGAAAGCGAAAAAAAAATATTGAATTGATATGTAAAACTAGGAACTTTTTTTAATGTTTAGTCATTTATTGAATGAATTTACCTTCATTATCGAAGGTAAAGTGTTAGCTAGTCTGATTTTTAAAAGGAAAGGAAAAGCAAATAGGGAGTATCAAAAAGAGAAGAGAAAAAATTCACAATTGAAAGTCAAATATAGGTAACTTTCAGAAACTTTATTGCTGAATCATATTTCAATAAAACTGCTGATAGATGAATGGATGCATACTTATAAAATATAAAATACAGAGATTAACAGAATAAGATGGATAATTTAAATTCAATTTCAGAAACTAGGAATTGAACCTACTATAAATGAACTCTCAGTGGAAAAAAAAAACTGGAGACAAGAAAATTCTATTAAACATTCAAAATTCTACCTATCAACTCTCAAATACACCAAAATTTCTTCATTCTTAAAAAAAAAAAAAACTTTGTTAGATTCTACCACATTCTCAAAGTATCATCATACATTTCTCTTCACTGTACTACGCTGACTCCTTAAAAAAGTTGTCCACATTTGCTGCCTCCACTTCCTTTCCTTTCACTCACTCCTCAGCCCTATGTACTATCTTCTGGCCTCATTGCAAAATTAAATCTGTTCTCTCCAAAGTTATCAGTGATCTTTTAGTTGCCAAAATGATGGTCTTCTCGTCCATTTTCTTCCTGACTTATCTATCCAAACCCAAATCTAAATTCAAAAAGCAACAATATATTACTGGAGAAAGGATAAAGACCTCACAATAAGATCAGAGGTAAAGCAAAAATTGTCCATTTCTCACTACTATTACTCAATATTGTGCTAGAAATACTAGCTATAGTAATAACATAATAAAAAGAGATTTTTCCTGTGTGAAAATAAAAGGAATAAAGCACAGGAAGAGGGAACACAAAAGTATTACTTTTGCAGATGATATAATAGTCTTCTATTTAGAAAAGAGAAAAAAAATCAACTAAAATTAACAAAACCAGCAAATTGACCAAATTTGAAGGATATATATAATAAACCTACATAAATCATTAGGATTTTTATATTACCAACAAAATTCAGAAGGAAACAACAGACAGAAATTTTCCATTCAATATAACTACATGTAATGTAATAAATGTAGAATGTAATAAAATATTGGGGAATCTCCCCTCCAGGATACACATGGGAACTATGCCAACACAAATATAAAATATTCCTTATGGAAATAAAAATAGACTTAGTAATTGAAGATATTACTTGCTAATGCCAGCATAATAAAAATGCAAGTCAATCTAACAAAACAATATTTTTGGATCTACCAAAAAATTCATCCATAGGAACAAAAGATCCGGAAACTCAAGGAAAATAATCTCATAACATACTACAAAGCAATAATTATCAAAACTATTTGTGACTGGTTAAAAAAATATCATTTTAAAGTTTCTGTGCATCAAATTTATCAGATAAAGCTCTGATATCCAAGATGTAAAAGGAACTGATTCACATATTTAAAAGCAAGAGCCATTCCTCAATAAATATAATGAAAGGATATGAGTAGGCAGTTCTCAAAGGAAGAAATTCAAGTTAATAACAGCGATATAAAAAAAAAAAGCTCAAAAACCCTAATAATTAGAAAAATGTAATTTAAAACAATTCTGAGCTTCCACCTCATACCTTCAGATTGGCAAAGATGACTAAAAAGGAAAACAACAATTTAAGAAGCTATGAGAAAATAAGCACACTAATGCACCATTAGTAGAGCTGTGAATTGGTCCTGCCATTCTGGAAAATAATTTGGAACTATGTCAAAAAAGCTAATAAAT